TGAGTACAGGATACACCTACGCGATTAATATATTATTTATAATATTGTAAGAATATATTTTGTACACATAAATAATGTATAACGGTTGTAGCTAAGCGCATTTATTGATTTTCATCAAACATTTTTGTGTTTGATAACAATTAAAAATTGTGCATACTCTGCAAATATTGCTTTTGTATATTTTGTTCTCATCGGAAATTCAACTTAACTTTTATAATTGGCTGTTTGGCATTCAAATTCATATTTTTTTTCTTCCCACTTACCTGTAGTCGTTATAAGACGCCTCTTCGTTTTGTTCTTTATTCATCGTATCAAAAGTATAATACCCAGTGTGGGCTAACTCACAATTAACTAGATTGTAATGTACCTACACATTTGCAAATTTGCGCATTTGACGAATTTGAATACATTATGTTGTACAGTACTGCATTGTGTCGAGTAACCCAACCTAACCAATAACAGCTGATGTGCGGTGTTGTTAAGCACTTAAGTTATTCAAATAATTTGCTTATAAAATACTTTTCACATTTTTTAAATAGGTTTGGTTGCTCGATAATAATAAACGAAATCGTATTATAATCTACGGGCTACACTATTTATTTTTTAATATTTTAACAAATTTGATACATTTGTCTTAATATTTTGTTAGCAATTTAAAATTAAACGATATTTCATCTGTACAAGCGTCTCGCCTTGTTCAACAAGAATAATGTAGAAATCAATTTACAGGCGTGAATGACTTGATTAAAGAAGTCACTCATTGTAGTGGCACTTTAGAGGGCTATGTTTACTATTTTAAATGAAAAATGATAATTCATCATTCCTTGTCAAAATACAAAAAATTAAATTTAGTATAAAAAAAAAAAAAACTAACGAGAAATCAAAATAATATATAATAACAATCATATTATAATAGGAATGTCTGTTCCCCAATTTATTTTAGGCAGGTACGCCCCACAACTTCCGTGAGATCCGTCATGTAACTGTTTCACTGTATATGCACACAACACGCACACGACGTATATCATTAGTACACGAACATAATATTACGACATCGAGATTTTCCGCAACAGTCCAACACCAATGAAAATATACATATAATAACATTATGTACTTACTATATATATATGTGTGTTATGCGTGTTATATACTTATATTATTATATTTTATGTCTATATGCTTTACGACCCATACACGCTTGTATATTATTATGTGCACACCGGATGACGTGTAACGCGGTTACAGAACTATATTATGATATGCAGGCTATTGTTTCATAATTTTTTCGTTCTAAAAATTTCTCACCCGCGAATTCCTCTGCAATTCATCAACGAAATCTTTACTTACATATCAAACCTGTAAAACACGAAATTAAAATATTCTCGATCCCGAATTAGTGATCTCATCTCTGTAGTAACGTATATCTTTTTGATCTGCGCCAAGGCTGGTCTCCTAATTTAAATTGTTAATTCTCTTTGTCTTAATTATTTAATTTTTTTTCATCAGTTATCCTCTATCTGGACTCGGCAATACTTGCCGTAATTGCCTTGTTAGGATTTTTTTTTCAATATAAAACCACTTAAATTTGAAAACCTCAGTTTTGAAACAACACGATGTTACAGAATATGTTACTGTGAACGGTCAGACTGTCCTATTTTGTTGAATTGTGGCGTAGGTATACCTAGCTAATACAATACTATGATATTATTGCAACGGGTTTTGTAAAGTGTATTGTGATTATTATAAATACTATTTGTTATGACCTTTACATTAGGCGAAAAAAAACCGACACGAATATTAGTCAAAAAAATGATTCGGGGGGAAATTTCAGACTGCACCGAAATTATAGTCGTGCGGAAATTGTCCATTTACCATATAGCTTATATCGCGACTGTGAAATGCAGTGGCATCGCTATGTATAATAGTGCCTTGTACCTGTGTAGTGTGTAGGTATAATATATAATGACTTTTTGTCTCCACGACTGACGAACACTGTGCAGGCATCGAATGAAAATCATCAAGAATTTACGCACGCAACCGTATCGTAGTATATATAGGTACTATATATGTATATATGTATATATATGTATATTTATCATCGCGCATGCAACATATTTTACACAGAACATAGAGCTATACGGCGGAATGATAATATTATACAGCAGATCGTTGTGCTTTGGTCCGTAAAAAAACGTATGACACTTTTTATGTTTCCGACTGTGATCATTACCGTTGTATCTATTTTATTTTATTTTTTTTTTGTTTTTGTCTGCGAGCAACAAAAATTGAAGCTCGGTATTCTTGATGTTTTTTTCTTCCTTTTTCAAACCGATAACTGTACATCCGTATAATCGATGTAGTCGATACTACTATAATAGCTATACACACGTATGTGACGTTAGGTTCGATTTATCGAATCAATGTCAATGTATACGTTTCTAACGACTGTTGCGGATGATTGTTGACAATTGACATCATTCTTTTTTTTCCCAAAACATTTATTTTTTGTCCTATAATATAATAAGCATTAAGTATACACAAGGCGGTTCTTTCATCGCGAAACAGTCGCTTTATTTCTTCGGTAAACTTGGGTATGAGTTTTTGAATATACATTTCCTTTTACGTACTTATAAGCACCTAATTGATTTTGAACACAGCGGCCATTCATAAGAGGTTGAAGCACTCTATGATATTCATCCTAACCATAGGAATTTTATTCTGCTCCACAAAAATTTGTCTCGTCGTACGTTTGTAAAGACGGTGACAACAACAAGCATGCGAGTGCGGCATAAATGATAAGAGGATTTTCAAACACAATGTTTTGAAGAATTTTTTTCCAAAAACGCATTTACCTAGACATTTTTTAATAGAAACAATATACGCGGGTACATTGTATAAAATAATATGTTTTAACGGTGGAGGCCAATAGACCGCTATTGGTTACTTTATACAGATATGTTTATTAGAATTCGGTATAGTATAGGTAATGATAAAACCGATGATTAAAATGAATTAGTCTGCATATTATTATATCCAGTCCCAGTGCAATAGTTAATATCGAATAACTGCGCTGTCTTTTGTCTTGGAATAATGCACATCAACTGCACGTTATAGAAACCTATAGTGGTCGGATTAGTCGAATTTATTCGCAATGCAAATTACGTACGTATACGTACTGTTGTTGCCGTTTGTAGTTATTAGCTATTATGTAATACTAGGTATTTATACGGTTCGCGTCATTTCAATGAAAGAACTGGCAAACTAGTAACTGCAAATGATTTACAGTTACCTGCAAGCGGTTGATTCTTCTCGATTACACCATACTTGACAAGACATGAGTATAGAGTACGTTCATTGTATAGGCCGTATAGGTATATATATATAGCGCGTCAATAAAACAATACTCACTACGAAAAATCGATTTTAAGGGACAACAAAACGCGTTCAAAAGATTAAATAAATAAAGTTTAATAGACCACATTCATCGTCCTGATCTCCCTCCGTAGTAGTATAGTTATTCATTAAGTTAAAACTGTTGCTTGCGATAATTCAGGAAGTCGTCGAAACTTATAATAACGTCGACGTGTTCGTGTGCGTAATGGATAATATAATGTAAATCATGTACTATAAAATATATTGTACGCGTGGGAGTAACTCTGGAGATTTATGTTATTAATAGTTGATTAATATCTATCGCATCGCATTAGTATAGGCACCTTTCTTCTAAGTGGGAGAGTAAAAAGTTAATTTGATCCTTGTAAAGTCAATGCCAAGAAGAACGGAATTCAATAAGTTAGGTTAGGTTAGGTTAGGTTAGTTTAGTTACCTACATATTTGAACTCTTAAAGTCTAAAGTTACCTAATGTATCTTAGAAAAATATTAATACAACTTTGTTAAAAAGAAGCTAGGTAATTCATTTTTTTTAATTCCCACATATGTGATTGATCAACTTTCAATATTTAAAAAATAATATAGCCAATTATTTTGTTTAAAATGCGTCCTATACAATTCCTCTTAATACCTGTGTTTTTTTTTTAGTTTTTATCAACGTCTAAATTGTCATCAATAAATCGAATCATTGACCATTGTATATGCAATTTAGAGTGATTAAACAAAACATTATTTTAACTTAAAGTATTATTTTTCAAATTACCCAATTGGAAAAAACTTAGTTGTTGCAATAGATTCTTTAACTATTTAAATTATTGATTTAATTAGATATTTAACCATTTATAAAACTATAATATAAAGCTAAAAAGTTTTTAAAAAAAACAACTTGTATTTTTTTCAATTTTCAATTTTTAATTATGATTACTTTTATAATGCAACACGCAACGTCTTATACTCTGCATATTATTACTATAAATATGTATATAATTAAACATAATAGGTACCGCATTTAGCATTATGTTCAGAACTATATTAAGATTTCCGCGCCCATTTTTTGGTCATATTTAAATATTAAGTACCGTATTCAATTAAAGTTAATTAATCTTAAAAGTTGAAATTAAATTGAATTTCCTGTTGCATATAAAATTATAGACTTTATCTGAGTTAGTTATTATTTATATCCGTTGGAATAACTATAGGTATACTGTAGTATTGTAAAGAAAGGATTTAATATTTTTGATCTTACGACTTTTTGATTAAAACATAGATAGTAAAAACTACTAACAACAGCCACTTATAAGCTATTAAATATAATTTATAGATATTTTTTCCTCTGCCCCAAATTAACTATACATTGTATAATTATTAAATTATATATGTCTACCTAATACTATTTTAGAATATGCGAGACTGTAAACTCTTCATCAACGATACTTTCCTATAACTTTTATTATCATTACCTGTATACATTTATAATGTTATATATTTAAAAACAATTTAAACATACAAAATACGGAATATAGGTGTACGATATAAGTACCTATTGGTACCTGGATTGCGGCTACTGATGACGTGTATTGTATTCTATCAATGTTAATATTGTTTGCAGAAAATGACGAGCGAGCGAAACATACCACACTTGAGGGACATATTCGGCGGGGCCGACGACGACGACGGTCTGCCGGGCGAGCTGCGGCGGTTGGACGTGAAGAGCGACGACCGAAATTCGTTGGGCGGCGTCAGCGCGGGCGGCACAGACAGCGCCATATCGGTGGGCTCGGCCAGCGAAGAGGACTTATTGCCGGCCAAAGGGTCCAAGAAGAAACGGCATAAGAGCGGCGGAAGCCGGCAGACCAAGTGCGCGGCCACGTTTGAGGACGACGTGAAGCACCTGGAACGTCATCTGTCCATGAAGAAAACCATCAGGAAGAAAATCATGCGAGACCTGCAACAGGCGTTTGTCGAGGACCCGGACGAGTTCAAGGTGGAAAACATACCGCCAGAGCAGCTCAAGGCCGAGCTCAACTCCAGGAGTCTGAGCTTCGGCATGCCTGGCAAAAAGAAAGGTACTTACCATGATACCATACCGGCTATATAAGTATAATATTGTAGATTTATTGTAACTAGAGACCGGGTGTTTTTTATGTATTTGCATATTTTTACTGAACGTATGCAGCTCAGATTTCGATAGGCTTCATCGACGATTCATTTTCATATGAACTGAAATACAACATTTTAAGCACATAAAAAAAATTATATTTCAAGGTTAAAGAATATTTTGCGCAAAATAATATATGTGTTTTGAGAATATATTTGCAATATGGACTTTGAACATTTTATAAAAAATGCAAAAATATTTTTGACCTCCGATACCCTCCTTTAGGTTACCTGTAAGTGCCATAATCGAGGGCACCGTGTTTAAGTGTCTGCAGGTCAATGGCCTGTGGCCATTCTGGCTACGGCCAGACCTGCGAGTTTAGGCGAACTATAAACAGGTACTAAGTTTTAGTCATGATTTTTTTTTTTGTGCAATGGGGTAACAGATTTGAATGAGTTAGTAGGTATTACTCTTCCAAGAATTTATTTATTTATTTTCTTGAGGTTAGATCAAAAAAATTGTTCTAAACGTGTCTAATATATACATATGGTATAGGTATATATAATATTGTATAAATTAATGATTTATTATTATGTGGTACCAAAAGACTTCCCTGCAGGTTATCTACCTATTTAACAGAATCTGGGTGCAGGCGGTACAGCGATTTTCTTCGCTGTTACCAAGGCCGAATTTCGACTTTCGGATGCCCATGGCGATGGCGTAGGTACCTTGAGTATCTGTTGCTCGTATGAATTACTCGTCGTGCCATCGCGCGGAAAAGTTTATAGGTGGTACCCTTTTAAATCCGAATTCAATTTTTGTAGAGTCTGCGCATGCATTTTTTTTCATATAGGTATTATTATTCTTTATAATCTATAGGAACTCATAAAAATAATTTAAAATAATATATAAAACAATGTATAAAATATGTAACAATGTAATTTCGTATGAACCTAAAAGAAAGTTAGCAACATGTTACACTTGATATGATTCTTTTGTTTTCCAGAAGTAATAGATACCTAACTATTAGCATATGTCTATGGCTCACGAGTGTCTTCGAGGATGTTGAAGGGGCAGTCATAAATATAGGGGGGGAGATACAGCGCCACGGGGGTAACCCCTGAACAGGCCTAAGACTTATAAATCTTTCGCGATCACTTAGTGGTTGCAGCTCAAAACTTTATTTCTATAGATATGGCATAAAATCCATAAAATCCATAATATTTACATTTTTATTTTTTTCATTTTTGAAATAATATTTTCCAAGTTTTTACTACACCTATCATTACAAGCCACGAGGACGAGGTAGGCAACTACCTATTTTATAAACGTATATGGCAGGTAACTACCTATACGTTAAAATTGTTAAAAATTAATTTCCATTAGCTTACCTACCTACTTTATAGTTATCAAGTGGTTAATTCGTTTTCGTGTTTCTACATTTCACCTAGTAATTACTTAATTTACCAATTACGTCTTTACTTGTTATTTCCATGTAAGATGTAACGGATTTTTTAATACCTATAGAAGTATAGAACCTTTAATAGGTAATAGAACCCCATTGTATAGGTACTGAATATTAATTTGTAAGATTTTTAAAATTTAAGTGTTAAATACATTATTATTTTTTAAATTTAATTCTTAATATTTTTTACTTTCAGGTAAAATGAAGTCTGAATCGAATTTTCTAGACTTTTTACGTGGTGGAAACGACACGACAATGACTGGCCGTCGTTACAACGCAGACGAAAGCGATTCTGGACATGGGTCACCGACCAGAGAATTGGACGACGACGAACCGTCGATACGGAAGCCAAGCTTTTGGAGACGTTTTACCATAAAGGGCGCGAGGAACAAGCGGTAGGCGCAAATGTCGTTCGAGCGCATAAGTAACACTGTGATCCTTAAAAGTTAAAACCTATTATTATTATTATTATTATTTTATAATTTTTTTTTTTATATCACGTAAGATTGTATGTGCGTACCTATGCGGTCTATTTTCGTCTTGTCATCCTGATGATGCTATTACCTTCCATTTTCCGATGTACAGTCGCTGCTGTGAACTGTCCGAACCAATATTTTAAGTGTCAATTAGACTACTGATAACAAATCCTCTCTGATTTTTTCCTTTGATTTTACAAGTACAGATTTACCATTGGAATTTTTCTTTGATAGTCTACGATGTATTTTGATATAAAATATTTTATTTTATGTACGTATGTATGTAGGTACTTAATAAACATGTCATACTTAATACAATTTTTGTACATTTTTTTTATAAACATTAGTAATTATTAATAAGTAAAACATCATTCTGATCCATATTGTTTTTAAGAAGTTGAGTATATTATTTTCAAGTTATTTGTGCAAAATGTTCTAACTTTTAAGACATTGGTAGGTCATAAAATAATAAACTCTTTGATACACTCCAGCAACAAATAAACATTAAAAAAATTGCTTAATGCAATTTAGTCCACCATTGTATATTATTGAAATAACAAAATATTGAGCAATTTCTTGTGAAGCTAAAATAAACGCTGTGGTCACAGATCAATTTCATTATAGATTTAGTTATGACAAACCATTTTTTTACTTTTAAAATCAATGTAGAAAGTTTTTTCTTCCATTAATTGTAGTCATATACTTACTAAAGTGAAAAGTATATAATAAATTAAAAATATTTAGTTATAACACAAATACAAAAATTATATATTTTGTACGATACAATAAATAAATTTAAAACCACTCTAATGGTGTAGTTGACTGGTAAAAAAAATCAGCATTACAAAAACTTCTTAGAATACCTTGACAATATAATATTATTAATATTAAAAATATAAATATAAATTTGATCTATTAACACCAAAAACAAATAGGCACAAGTTCAAGAATAAGGCAAGATTGAACCAAATTATTACATATACAAAAAACATATAGTATTATGTATGTAAATAATTATTTTTAAAACTATAATATTAGCTACGGAGACTCATGAACCAAATTCCTCAGTGTCAGAATCAATTTTGTTAAATTGGAATAATCCTCGTCCATCCATTTGTAAATAATACTGAAACATAAAAACAATGATATGATTATCATTAAATGTGATAAAAAAAAATATAATATATTTCTTAAAGTTTTATAATATTAAGTACATATTACAAAATACATGTTATACAATGCATAGTGTTGTATGACACAAAATTATAAATAGTTGAATTAGTGAATAACATATTAAATTTGTATTTTTTATTAAATCAAGAAAGTTATTTAATAAATTGGTGGAACATTATTTAAAGAAAAAACATATAATACAGTTGTCATGTACAGTAAAGTGTAATGTTATAATGGACTTCCTATGAGACAAAAATTTCACTACAACGTAAACTAATTTATAACAGAAAAATCAGTTGTTACCAAATGATTCCGATATGATGAGATTTTACTGTATTCTTTAGTATATAATTAATTTTATTGAATAGGCACATATATAAATGTTTAAAAGAAAAAACACCTAAAGGGCAAATTATTTAAATCATTCTTAGAAGTTTAGATTAGAAGTTATTAAATTAGTCTCTTAAATTTTTTTTCCTTTGAAAATGTCTATACATTCAATGCATTATTTGTTGAAATATAAAGCTTGAAAAATATTTGTATCGAGTCTATTGGTTATCACCATTAGAATTCAAGTTATAAAGACTACTGTAATTATTATAGTGCATGTCAACAATTGTTATCAATAGGCAGATAATAAAATTGAATTGTGATGTTGTAAATTGTTATATTAATATGTTTAGTCAAAATTAGTAATAATGGAAGTATTAAGACTAATACACATTATGAAAAAACAAATAAAAAAGAAAAATCATATTGAAGATTATATTATGTTAAGCGAAACACGTTGGTAAATACAAAATAACTTGGAGATGTATTATTTTTATCTTTGGTTAATTTATTTTTATTCTTTAGTAACTGCGTTACAAGTTAATTTTTATCAGTATTTTTACTACATAAATATATATATTATATTAAGCAACTATTAGTTGCACACGTCAACACAGTTCTAATGCGGAAGTTGGGTAGTGCACAAATTAATATTATACCAACTGAATATTAATACTTACATCGTGATGTGTCCACAAAGATTTTCGATGGCTAACCGTGAAAAGTGAAATACCAACATCACGACAATATTGATACATAGAACCTTCAACATCAACACTAACTGCACTTGTACATTCATCTAGTATTGCAAATTGTGGTTGATGATAGAATAACCTAGCCATGGCAATACGCTGTTTTTCACCACCAGACAAAACATCCATCCAATCAGCAACAGTATCCCAACCTTGATCTCTTTGCAATAAATATGATAGTTGCACACGTTCTAAATGATTAGCAATGTCTGCATCGGTTTTTCTACGACGCTGCATTTCTTCCCTTAAGGAAAAAAAAAATAAGATTAGTTATAAAAATTAATATCACAAATTATGATTGATGCTGACCCATCTATAACAATATGATATAACAATGATATGCAGTCTATAATATTAAATAAGAGCATTTCATTTACACGTACTTAGTGTGTGGATATGTAACTTGATCCCTTAGTGTACCTAATGTCATATATGGTTTCTGTGGAATATAAAAAAGTTTGCCCTTTGGAGGTTTTGTTAAGGTTCCACCAAAAAGAGGCCACAATTCACCAAGTATTCTGAACAATGATGATTTTCCACAACCATTTGGCCCACATACTAGCACATTCATGCCTGATGTAACTTCAAATGATAATTCTTCAACTAGTATATCACCATTTGGTGTCACAAGAGGTACTTTATCAAACTTAATGACATTATCTTTAGTGATAATACGACCAGAGTTTGGTACAAGTTTCTTTTCTTTCAGAGTATTATTATCAGTCAACATAGTCCGTACATAATGTCCTTTATTAAGATCAGTAAGTACAGTCATGATCTCAGTTACTCTGGCAGTGAATCCAGCTAAACGTGTCATATCACGGCCAGCTAATACTAAGCGACCAATAGCTTCAGCTAATTTTACCAACATACGACCCATTGTATAGTAATTCTGTAATTAAAATATTGAATATTAATAGTAAATAAATAAGCGAGTCCCTACTTCTTGGATAAAAGTAACAATTTTATAGTTATTACGAATAAAATATAAAATAAACAAGATTTTTTAGAGTAGCATAGCATAGGTATTTTTTGTGTAAATCAATTACAGATAATATAATAGAACCTTGATTATCCGAACTAAAGGACTGCACCTAGTTGAGAAACATGGGAGTTCAGATACTGGAAAAACTTTAATATGTTCATACATATATTATACTATATGATACATTGATATTTATCATTCAATATTATCAATATCGAATTATTATATACATTAACTTATTATACATAACTACATGCCTACATATTACCCATAAAAGCATTACAACGCTTATTGATGTTCGCATAACTGAGTATTTGGATACTTAGATTGTATTTGATACTTATTCAGATAGCATGATGTTTGGATAATCTAGGATCTACTGTACTTCTTTTATTGTTACCCATAAGGGTTTTGTTTGAAAATGTTAAAACTATACTTACTCGAAAACGTTCATTTTGTGAAAGACCAGATAAAGATGAATTACGATTCATAAAAGGTATACTAACAGCATAAAATCCTACAACTGTAGCAATGTCTAGAAAATATAAAACATTTCCAAATGTAATTTTCATTAATTCTAGAATAATTTTATCATAAATTATTTCGACTTACATTTTCCAATAATATTATCAAGAAAACCCATAGACACTTTGAATTCAAGGAATTTTCTTAGGTGAGCTGTCTAAAAATACAAAAGTAATACTATCAAAATTAAATCTTTAAATACAATACTTAGGGTTCAATCTTGTAACCTTGTATAGTGCGAGTACTTCAATACATAAAAATAAAATTTAGGACAAAAAGTTATGACTGATAATTATTTTAAATTAAGATGCCCGGAGTGGAGTGCTTAGCGGTTATCTCGCAGAACGTTGGTTTAGTACTGAGCTCACCTAAACTTTAAATGCTTATAACTCATTCATCCTAAATTTAATTTTCATTCATCGATATACTTAGAAAAATATTCTACTTTGGAATATGAAATTAAAAATAAATGTTGTCATTTAATAAAGTAAAAACTTTTTAAGTGATACAAACACAACATATAAAAAAATATTTATCAACTAGAAACCATGTAAATTTTTTTTTTCAAAAACATTAATAGTTTTTGAAACAAAGAATAGTTCATGATAAAAGGATCACTTGATATTTACATACGAATAAAGTTAAGAGTAATTAAAATGATTAAAAAAATTAAATACTGAAACAGAAAAAAATTGTGATAAAAAAATGAAATATAATAATTTATAAGCTAACAAACTAAGAGTAATACTTACTAATTTATTAAATGAGGCTAACATAATAAGCTTTTCCCTGTTATTGCCGTTGTAGAAGGCTATTTCTTCAGAATTAGTGATTAACCGGGAGTTAATATAACGGTATTCACCTTCTAATTTTTGTTCTACTACAGTCATTTTACCAGTGGGTCTACGAAGGTAAGTTAGTACAAATCCAGATACCATCAAGTAACCGAGCATCACAGAAGGAGTCTAAAATAAAAATTGTTATTACATACAAATTTAACTTAGGACATATTTTTAGTCTTTACTTCAAAACCTAATGTAGATGTTAATTTGTAAACATATATTACAATGTCTAAAAATGGTTTACAGACATTGGAATATAAATCAGTGAACATATCACAGAACTTATCGACATCAGCTGTTAATAACTGATCAGGATTTGATATACGGTTGTCCAAATTATTTATCTTGTAGTAAGTATATCCTCTAAAAATGATAAAGATAACTTTTTGCTTCTTTGTAAAATTTTTGTATAAAACTACCTTAAATATTCATCATATAAGTGAAGTGACAACCTAGTTCGAAGTCTAAGCTTCAATTCTCCAATACTCCACTATAAATTGTAAAATTTGAATTAATATATTGTTAGACCGCCAGTCGGTTGATAAATATTCATATTTACCTTTAACACATTATTGACTAAAGAAATCTGAAAAATGATTAGTTATTAAATTTCTTACAAAAAATCACAATTTAGAATAATAAGTCCACTTACAACTGGCATTCCGGCAAAAAAGTACAACAGTTGTTTTTTAAACAATGTTGTATTCATAC